ATATTCCATCTTGTGATGTGCTCGGGAACTATAAGCCAACCAGCAGTGTATTTGGTCCAGTGGTTGTAAAAATTTATCAAATGTACCAGGCTTATAATTTAGTACGTCAGATGCGGGTTTTATCTGTATAAATAATCATTGGTACGGCAATGATTTCCAGTGATGGCATTCGAACTCTCGGCATATTTTATATTTTATGTATCAAAATAAGTAAACATTTTCAAGAAACTTTCTGAATGTTAAAATCCATTCTAGAAAAGGTACACCAAAATGATCTGGTCTGGAGACAAGTAAAGTTTAATCATTGTTAATGTGCTGTAATCTTCAACCATATTCATTACAGTGAAGCACTGAAACATGCCATATCATTAATTAAAACTGGTCAAATAATTGCTGTAGTAAATTAAGCAGGCACCTATAAAAAGTGTGGTTATTACCCCCTTGCGATGAACCACTGAACATCTTCCACATGTTAAGTTACGCGTCAATCTCTTGGTCAAGATCATACGATGGACTTATCTGCTGTTTCCACTAATGAAATTTTTTGTCCGATGATGGCTTTAAGCTAAAGATACTATCCGAAGCTGCCCTCTACTTGTATGCCAAGAATGGTTAACGCTTGTGAAGCCTGCAGCCTGTTTTTTAAAGGGTTTGAGTTTCTCATCTATGCCTTGTCAACACTACACCTTTTCTCTTTGGGTCTGACTGATTTCGATTATGAAAAGTATAACGTACTAATGATTTAAGTCAAAGTTATCAACCCTAATATTGCATTAGAAAAAAAATGCATGAGTATGAAAATGACAGAGAAGCAAGGCCTCCAGCAAAGTGTCATAGATCAAGTTGCACATGTACCTCTGCAGGAATCATACTCTCGATTCATTGTTTTATTTCGTAAGGCAAAGGTTGTTTTCATTGGTAGCTTAAAAAGCTTAAAGAAAATAATTCATTGACAATCGAAATTATAAATCAAATATAAACAAGCATCACCATGGCCAAAAATAAAAAACAACGAAAAGACAAACAACAATAACAAATCATAACACAGAATGGATGGGATGAATTCAAATGCTCCGGAAGGGTGAGCAGTTCCTGCTCTTCATTTGACATTCACCGTGTTGCTCATTTAATTACAAATCCGTTAATGATTGAACTACACTCAAAATTATTTATGATTTAACGCTTGGTGGATGAGATGTTTTTGGCATCCAGCTCAATACCAACGTTTAAAATAACACCAATCCCCGTTAAACATCAAACAAATTTGAGTGTGATGCTTGACTTACCACTGTTGATTATTAAGCCTAAAGAATGGTAATTGTTTGCATTGAACTTAAATGTATTGTTTGCTAGGCGGCTTAAAATCCTCAATACGGAATACTTGTTCAAATATTCTATCTTTATTAGTATTCATGATAAAGGCTATATGCCTAATAATAATTGTGTATTCGTCCATAATATAAAAACGGTCGTGTCAATACAAAAATATAATTTTTCTGAATGCAAATAGATTATGTTAAAGAAACCAGTTTACAAAATATCAAGAAAATAGTGATATGTTTAGTAAACAAACTAAATAACATGAAATTAAAAAGCTGGTTGATAAATCTGATTACAATCATTTCAAAAGGGAAAGCGCTTTATTCAAACTAATTCCAACTTAAAACAATTCTATTTTAAACTAAATTCTGATTCGATTGTCTATTTATATCTAGAAAGAAGTAGCATAACAGAAATACCGAACTCCAAGGAAAATTCAAAACGGAAAGTCCCTTATCAAATGGCAAACCTAAAAGCTCAAACACATCCAATGAATGGAAACAACTGTCATATTCCTTACTTGGTACATATGGGTTGAATTGCTGGTTTTAATTAAATGGTTTGATTTTGATTTTTTTTTTTTTCAAATTGTACAAAGAATCATTGTTATCATTGTATGTAAATTTAATGTAATTGTTCAGCTCAGCTTTGATCGCTGTGATTAGCAATTAAAAAACACTATTCTACTCTTGTCTATCCTATTCTAAATAAAGGTAGCTAGGGTATAGAACTGTATTTTTTATGTGTCACACAATTCTTTTAAGTTTTATTCTTTTCTCTTATTTTTCATAAAACATATTTTACCCTGTTCCTGAAACATTCTTCAAATCCTATAAATACTATAATATAGTATTAAAGTTTCATGTCATCAAAATATGTATATCAATTAATTCTTTTGTTGTCAGGGTTAACACAGCTTTTAGTATCGACAATAAAGAAAACATTGGAGGAAACAATTACAAAAAAAGAGTAACATTGGTCTGAAGTATGGTTCTGATCGAAATTGGTATTCTTCTTTGGCTATATTTTCATAATCTATGCTAAAAAAATTTATTTTGATGCTGAAAATGAAAAACAAAGAATTCTCATCTCACTCCTTGATATCCTTTAATAAGATCGTATGTAAGATTTAACCTTTCATCACTCATGTAAAACGCAGAAAAAATACTGTATTTGGTCTGGAACGTGATTGTGGTAATTGCAGCAGGCAAAGATTGTCACTTTTATGACGGATATGCATTTTAAAACAATTTCGATGAGCGATAAAAATATTCCTCAATTGTTTGAACCTTTTGAAATTAACAAGAAAATTATCATTATATAATTAGCTCAGATAATAATATTTAAATCATCAACACACCCCCAAGTTGAAAACTAAATCAGAAAATTTATTTCATGTAGTGCATTATCAAAAATTCATGAATTTCTTATCAGTTTTAAATGGTCTTTAAAAAGATCAATTTTGTCAAAACGTGAATAAAGCATTGATCATCGATGAATGATTAATGACAGCTTCAATATCAAATGATCATTTTCATGATCTGTTAAATGTTTCCGTTAGCTTCTCCTTCTGACTCTACTGATGTGATCATTACATCGTGAAATTTTATTCAAATTGCTAGACAAAAAAATCTAAAATCTTATGAATTAATAATGTAATGATTATTTTCTGATTGTTTTCGGTAAAGACAAATCTATTCGTTAATAATATCGGTACCTTTCCGTGTGTAACAGGTAAAGCCAATTGTAATTTTATAGCTAAGTGATACTATGATCCTTTCAAGAAGGAGAATAGTGTGATATAAAAGATATCGAATTCTCATTTTAAAAAACCAACTAGAAAAAGTAGCAATTAAAATTTTTCTAAGAGAATGAATAATTTACTGGAGATATTAAACATCTCGGCCTGGTTTCGTTTAATATACATACCGTCATATAATGTTTCAGTTGAAGGTGTGTAAATGTTACGACAAGTGTTCGTGTTGTCTTTTAATCATGTGTTCAAATATTTCGAAAATATGGTATTTTTAACCACATTTATTTGTATTTATCCATGTTAAGTTAATTAATATATATGGACTGATCAATGTTCTATGCAATATGGTTCGATCGATATTATGCCATTATGAATTGAAATTTTCAAATATTTTTGTTCTCATATTTAAAGTAAAAAATTGGTATGGTTCCACCAAAACTTCTAAATACCGTTGTTTTACTATGCAAATAGTGGGATTTGTCATATACATTATTGCCCACTTAACAGTTTTAGTAAATGATAATTAAGATTTAAGGTCCTACATAGAAATATCTTTGAATCCATATTAGATGAATTGATCAAACACGGCATTTGACTATTCTGATCAGATTATGAAAATAATTGAATTCATCATATAAGAAGGAAATTAATGGGAAGCTCAAAGTGAACTAAATTTATGATGAAGAGATTTATAAAAAAAAGATTGCCTATACTTTCGGTCTTTTTTACTTTATGAGTTCTTCAACGTTTGTTTTTGGATTTGAATTTTGAAATATGTTGGCCTTGAATATCACTGAAGAGACATTAATTGTCGAAATGCGCAAGCAGAAAATATAAGAACCATTAATATTAGTATCAAAAAAGTCGTCTGATCTGTAAATTTACCGATGTGTCAAATTCGATATTGTGACTTTTTGACTGAGTTGTGAATTAAGCATGGCTGGTGATGAATAAATAGCAAGAGAAGTCATGTTTTATTTATTATAGTTCATGCGTTTCCCTCAGATTTGTTTTTATTTGTATATTTCTTAATTGATTTACGAACATGTGTTAATTACTGTTGCCTCTAATTTCTAGCTCTGTGATTGAATTGTTGTCGTCAAATATCTTATTTTATGTATGTTCTCTCGGAAACTTTTACGATATTATTAAGAAACAGCATAATAAATTCTGATGCAATATGGTGTCACATGTTTCAAAGGCTACAGCTGACTGTCAAATTCACAGTATATATATCGTAAATAAGTGTTCTATTTTTAGTTTAGTCAAGTATAACTAACACAGATAATTACAGCCAGCCAAAATTACAGAAAATGCATAGCCCATCAATGCGACATTTCTTAGCGCACTGTTTCTAGCAGTTATGTTTTAAAAGAGTGACGAAAATACCAAATGGACATTCAAACTCATTAGTCGAAAATAAACTGACAACGACATGGTTAAAAAAGAAAAAGACAAACAGACAAACAACAGTACACAAAACACAAAACACATCATACAGAACTAAAGACTGAGCAACACGCACCACCCCCCACCCCCCAAAAAAAAAAAACTGGGGGTGATCTCACGTGCTCCGGAAGGGTAAGCAGATCCTGCTCACATGTGGCACCCGTCGTGTTGCTCATATAAGTAATAACCCGCTGATAAGTTTAATTCGGTTGGTCACAGTCGGGGAAAGGGGAACGGGATTGTAGTTACGACAATTGCAACATATCCGTCTTCATCTGTGAAACAACATATGTTACTATGTATACTGTATTGTTTATAATATTTGTAAAAATAATATTATAATGATATTATATTATGCTCCTTGTGAGCCCATTTGATGGAAATAAAGCATCTTCTTCTTCTTCTTCATATGAAAATGATCCGCCTCTTTTCACCGTGTAAATTTTGAGACATGCTGTTCTAAAAATAAATATAATTTCATCGATTGACAATATTTTATTTAGATTGCAACAAAAACATCATATGTATGCTATAAGTATTTCGTGACATTTTTAACTACATTATGCAACATAATATTTCAACATATATTGACCCAACGAATAATAAGTATTAGATCATATTTTTAATTAACATTACAGTTTTCTGTCATTACGAACATTTTTATCTTTCAATGGTTTTACTAAAAAGAAAACAAAAAGCTTTATAACTGACATTTACTTTTCTGTTTTTTCTCTTGTATACACAATATTTCGATGCACACAATACTTGCATTATTGTAAAGCTTTATGACGCGAACTTGATTGGTTATGAAGAATATCTGACGTGAACTTGATGGTTGGGGACTGATCGATACTAATATGGATAACAGAAGATGTTCCAATATTTTCATTTATTTTTAAAAACATTAGAATTTAACCAAATGAAGTTTTATTATAACTTATTTATCCTCTAGATGACACAAAAATATCCTTAGCCAAAACATCATATCCACTTTTATAAGATGCTTTGATTTCATTATGCTGGTCAAATTTTATTTTGACTTACAAAGAGAGATGTCTCCCTAAACTGTCAAAGTTCACTAAATCTAATGATCATGCATATAGGGATTTATTGCTATACGGCAGGAGCTAATGGAACACTTGGTAAACCTTTGGTTATAGTTTAACATCAAAAGCAGACCCATGAGCTAATGGAACACTTGGTAAACCTTTGGTTATAGTCTAACATCAAAAGCAGACACAGGAGCTAGTGGAACACTTGGTAAATCTTCGGTTATAGTCTAACATCAAAAGCAGACCCAGGAGCTAATGGAACAGTTGGTAAACCTTTGGTTATAGTCTAACATCAAAATGCAGACCCAGGAGATAATAGAACATTTGGTAAACCTTCGGTCATAGTCTCACATCAAAAGTAGGCCCAGGAGCTAATGGAACATTTGGTAAACCTTCGGTTAAAGTCAAACACCAAAAGCAGACCCAGGAGCTAATGGAACATTTGGTAAACCTTCGGTTACAGTCTAACATCAAAAGCATACCGACATAGACATTACGAAAATTTAGTTGAGTTTTTTTTTTCATTTGAAAATTAGATGTTTTACATAATATAAAAAGTATGAGATTTAATGTGGAGAGCTAGCTAGTGTAAAATGAAATAACAAAAAAAAATGTCCATCTGTACAATAATGATTACATATATTGACTGAAAAATAAAAACGAAGATAAAATGCATGGTAATTCATTTAATTTTCAAAGGAAATGGGTAGCAGATAATAATAAGAAAATAATGTTGTTCAATACAAATAACACCAAACTTATTTTTACAACACTAATTATAAATTTAACACATAATTGATTGGTAGAAAATAAACAAAATAACACATTTTTTTTCAATCTACAGTTTTGAGGACATTCCTATCTGTATATAAGCAATTATCGTTGTCACTTCTCTCCATAAAACCGAATAATACAAATAATAAAGAAAATCAATATAATATGTTAAAATAATACATGTACATATTTCTAACCTGGCAGTTTAATGCAATTTAAAATGCTAAATTGAGACGTAACAATATATGCGTGAATCTCATGTTGGTTGTTTTTATATACATGAAATGAGAAAGACAATAATGTTTGAAAGGGGGAAGTCCATAAAACCTGTCAAAATCAAAAGTTAGACTATATCAACCACTAGGACGAAGGAAAACAACTATCATATTCCTGACTTGATACAGGTATTTTCCGAAGAAAATGGTCGGTTAAACTTAAGTACTACATTCTGTTGAGTATCAGGGTTTTTGTCATTTGATTAACTGACTGGCTCTGAATAAACTGAAACATTTCTTTGCTGCAGCTGACAAAATGTAACGATTGTAATCAATTTAGCCTGGCAAACTATGAAGATTTAACGCTTGTAGTTTGGGTCTTTTCTTCATAATTTTACAAACGAGTTGTTATACAAGTAGTCCGAACTTAGGTAAAAATTTTCAATATTTCTTTTGAAGTTGAACACGGCAGTTCTTTTAGTCTATAGTGATGATCCATTATCCTTAGTGATAATGGCATCAGAATTAGAATTTAATAAAAATTTCACGTTGAAATAAATGATATGAGATATGATAAAAAAATAATTCCTATTACAATTCTCACTTTTAAACTTCCAAATTTTATACAGGAACTCTTTTATAAATGTTAGACGAAGACACAAGAGATCCATTATATGTTTCACAAAAAATAGATATTTATTATTTGAGGACTTTATCTTTTTCAAAGAGAAACTCCTATAATACGTAAAAGAGATTTGCTGAATGACCATGTACATATATTACAAAGTGTATTTGTATTATGCAAATAGTATATTTCACGGTTTACATTAAATCTAAGCTTTTAAGGCTTAACTACTCTGAAGTTACAAGCCGGTAAGCAGTTTGTATATAAAATAACAAACATGCTGTGATACACTATACAAGCTTTCCCGCCAAATCTCTTTGTGTACCTTTGATTAATTTTGGCATCAAAGTTTATATACATCAATATCCACAGGACAAAATATTCACATCACCATTTTGATTTTCCGATTTCACCTGCAATTAAGTAAGATTCACACATTAATGATCGCATATGGATTATCCATAAAATCTGATAGAAACATAGTTTTACTTCCTTTTACTTAGATATAAATCAGCAGTGTTAATACTACCATTAATTATACAGAGAATAAAGAAAAATAAAAAGTACAAATATTAAACATTATATGGAGTAAATGAACTCATCATAGATACCAGGATAAAAAAAATATATGCCAGACTCACGTTTTGTCTACAAAAAAGGCCAAATGTAGTACGAATTTGAAGAGCACTTAGGACCCAAATTCCAAATGCCGAATACAGCTAATATTATATATTCCTAGGGTAGAAAATCCTTAGTTTTTCGAAAAATGCAAAGTTTTGCAAACAGTGATTTTATAATTATGACCATATCAATGATAATTCATAACAACACAATATACATGATATAAAATTCAATGAAATAGGTAAGCATATGATACAACAATACAAGGCTTCGCAACATTAAACCACTCGAAGTACGTTCAATTAAGTTGCCAGTGTTTTGACATATTTCATGTCAAACATTTTTTTTTTAAATTATAGCATTGATGTTCTTCTAAGAAACTTTTGGTGTGTTGATGTCAGACGTTTTGTTGTCTCTTTTTTGCTTCCTGAACGCTTGATATAGAGACTAACCGATGAAGGTTATTCCAGAGAAATGTATTGTGCCTTCAAATTGGCGTCGTAGGTGCATATTAGTGTGGCGTACACAATGTTCAAGAACTATTGTAATAGCTATAAATTTCCATTGTTGAAACATAGTCAACACTGTCCCAGTTTGGAAGGTTTTGCGCTGACAAACATGCAACACACCGACGTGTTCTTTATGTGCCTGTACCAAGCAAGGAGCATGTAATCTAGTGGTTATCATTGGTTACTGTCTGTCATATTTGTATTTCGTTCATTGTTGTAATATAAATCCTTGTCATTGGTTTCCTCTTTTGAATTGTTCCACATTTTGTCATACCGTGGCCTGTTATAGCATACTTTATGGTATGGGTTGTGCACATTGTTGTACCGTGACATGTTATTTGAAAAAAAGAATTGTCGTTTGGTGTATGGGTAGCTGTTTCATTTATAATCATTACGCATCGCATTATCTTACACAAGATATATTACATTATAAATACCTACACTTTTTTTCATTACGACAAAAAAAAATTGCTAAATATTTGGTGTCTGGATTTATACAGATTATGATGTAAGGGAGATAACTACATTTCAGCTTTTGAAATCACTTACCGTTCCATTCATTTGTCTCCTATCTAAGAAACTGACGAAATCTTCACATTTCATTTCCATTGCCCTTTCTTTCAAAGAAGTGGGGCCATGTCCACACTCCATCATTGCACACATATCATCGTTAGGGTCACATTTCGTATACTATAGGATAAAATACAAACATGATATCGTTGCTTTTAGTGGAGTTAAGCAAACAGAGAACAATATCTCGTTGCTTTTAAAACTTTTATTTGAAATATTGTAAATATGCATTGTGTTTAATAATTTAGTACACACAGTATATCTGTAAAACACCAGTATGAATACTGTGTTAATACGGATGCATCTATTTACTTACTATTTTCTTGCTGGTATTTACTGTTAACCATATATGATTAAAATGTTCTTGCCAACTAGCTAAACTGTAATTTTCTATCTTTAACATCTTTGTAATATTATTATAAGCAGCATCTGCTTACCGTTACGGAGCACCTGAGATGAACACCGATTTTCGGCGGGGGTCGTGTTGCACAGTTTTTAGTTTTTCTATGCTGTATTTTGTATACTGATGTATGTCTTTGTGTAGTTTTTCGTTTTTTGCCATGGCTTTGTCAGTTCGTTTTCGAGTTATGAGTTTGATCCTCCCTTTGATATCTTTAGCCTTTCTTTTACTATTATTATCATTACTATTTATTATTAATATTTATGAGAACATGTTTAATAGTCTATAATTTTACCATAAGTATAGTAAAACTGGATTAATAAATGCAAATAAAAAAGTATGTACTTGACAAATGTTTCTTAAAAATGTTGTTTATTTGTGTTTTAGTTGATAGTCAAACGAGTGTACATTTAAATGAAAATTACCTCTTTCCAGATTTCTGATTTGAATCCTATTCCTATTAGATACTTAGCAATATCTGTATCTTTGTTGTCTATACAGTCAAACAATAGATAACTAAACCTAGACAGATCAGTATTGTAACTTTGAACACCTGATATCAAACTCTTTACTGTTTTTAGGTCTCCTTTCTGAAATAAATATAATGTGTGTTAATATATAGATATGTTTTGCATAAGCCTTCAAGACAGCAACCCACAGTTTCTTCGTTTTATTTTTAGGTGTAAAAAATTAATTATCAATTTTTCTCGAAATTTTCCTTTGATTAAAGTATATGTCCTATATTAAACTGAAATGTCTTTGTAATCTGTCAATATGTATACATTTTGGATGATAAAAGTGTTTTTGTTTAAGTAATCGTCCATCGAATTTCCATAATTAGGTTATCCATTTTTGTAATTAATTACTGTGCATTATTGAGTTTAGACTATAAGAAGCGATGTCTGTACACTGTTAGATCTTGATAACAAAGAGCGTTGTTTATTTATCACAATTACCTTAATTGCGTCTTTAACTGTTTCATCAAAATCCCGCTCTGCCAGGTAAATATTCAGGTCAAAATCTCTGACATCTTTTCTCAGAGCAGAATTGGTTTGTGTTCCAATGGCCTCTAATGCGTAGTCTGCGGCTTTTCTTCCTTTCTACAAATCATTAGTTGTATTGTAATAATAGCATTCAATGAGTACTGCTGTTTTTCCATATCAAACATTCCATTCTTTTATAATATGTATTAATATTTAAAATTTTAATACCTTCGTACAGTGTTATTTATATTTCCAAACAAATATAATTTGAGGTCTAAATGAAATTTTGTTCTATATTTCTTAGTTATACCCTGGCATAAATAATTCATATCCAGTTTAATTCCTCTGAATATGATGTCTGATTGTTATTTTTCGTGATAAGAGTTTGAACTGTATGACGGGTAATGTATGCCTAGAAGAGAGGCTTTAGTTATTTTGCCTTGTCTCATTTCAAAAAGCAGTCATGTTATACTCTTTGTCTTCTCACATTTGGCTGTCGTTACTAGGGCGTATGAGATAAGTTTTGCCTTCTCACATTTGGCTGTCATTACTAGGGCGTATGAGAATACTCTTTGCCTTCTCACATTTGGCTGTCATTACTAGGGCGTATGACATAAGTTTTGCCTTCTCACATTTGGCTGTCATTACTAGGGCGTATGAGAATACTCTTTGCCTTCTCACATTTGGCTGTCATTACTAGGGCGTATGAGATAAGTTTTGCTTTCTCACATTTGGCTGTCATTACTAGGGCGTATGAGATAAGTTTTGCCTTCTCACATTTGGCTGTCATTACTAGGGCGTATGAGATAAGTTTTGCCTTCTCACATTTGGCTGTCATTACTAGGGCGTATGAGAATACTCTTTGCCTTCTCACATTTGGCTGTCATTACTAGGGCGTATGAGAATACTCTTTGCCTTCTCACATTTGGCTGTCATTACTAGGGCGTATGAGAATACTCTTTGCCTTCTCACATTTGGCTGTCATTACTAGGGCGTATGAGAATACTCTTTGCCTTCTCACATTTGGCTGTCATTACTAGGGCGTATGAGATAAGTTTTGCCTTCTCACATTTGGCTGTCATTACTAGGGCGTATGAGAATACTCTTTGCCTTCTCACATTTGGCTGTCATTACTAGGGCGTATGAGAATACTCTTTGCCTTCTCACATTTGGCTGTCATTACTAGGGCGTATGAGAATACTCTTTGCCTTCTCACATTTGGCTGTCATTACTAGGGCGTATGAGATAAGTTTTGCCTTCTCACATTTGGCTGTCATTACTAGGGCGTATGAGAATACTCTTTGCCTTCTCACATTTGGCTGTCATTACTAGGGCGTATGAGAATACTCTTTGCCTTCTCACATTTGGCTGTCATTACTAGGGCGTATGAGAATACTCTTTGCCTTCTCACATTTGGCTGTCATTACTAGGGCGTATGAGATAAGTTTTGCCTTCTCACATTTGGCTGTCATTACTAGGGCGTATGAGAATACTCTTTGCCTTCTCACATTTGGCTGTCATTACTAGGGCGTATGAGAATACTCTTTGCCTTCTCGAGAATACTCTTTGCCTTCTCACATTTGGCTGTCATTACTAGGGCGTATGAGAATACTCTTTGCCTTCTCACATTTGGCTGTCATTACTAGGGCGTATGAGATAAGTTTTGCCTTCTCACATTTGGCTGTCATTACTAGGGCGTATGAGAATACTCTTTGCCTTCTCACATTTGGCTGTCATTACTAGGGCGTATGAGAATACTCTTTGCCTTCTCACATTTGGCTGTCATTACTAGGGCGTATGAGATAAGTTTTGCCTTCTCACATTTGGCTGTCATTACTAGGGCGTATGAGAATACTCTTTGCCTTCTCACATTTGGCTGTCATTACTAGGGCGTATGAGAATACTCTTTGCCTTCTCACATTTGGCTGTCATTACTAGGGCGTATGAGAATACTCTTTGCCTTCTCACATTTGGCTGTCATTACTAGGGCGTATGAGATAAGTTTTGCCTTCTCACATTTGGCTGTCATTACTAGGGCGTATGAGATAAGTTTTGCCTTCTCACATTTGGCTGTCATTACTAGGGCGTATGAGATAAGTTTTGCCTTCTCACATTTGGCTGTCATTACTAGGGCGTATGAGATAAGTTTTGCCTTCTCACATTTGTCTGTCATTACTAGGGCGTATGAGATAAGTTTTGCCTTCTCACATTTGTCTGTCATTACTAGGGCGTATGAGATAAGTTTTGGCTTCAATATACTATTTTATATCTTAGTATAAACATACCGGATCATGTCTATCCTTCATTGCACCAGCTTTAACTAACTTTTCAATAACATCGTTCTGTGGCATAAATAGGTATGCGTAGTGAAGTGGAGTTCTGTCCAGCTGTAAATTGGAAATATTATATATTTTTTGAAAAATCATCAAAGTTTCCAGCCTTACAATTTAGTAGGCCAGATGGGCATAACATCTACGAGAGACACTTATTTAAACTAGTTTCAAATTCAAAATCTGATTTAAATCTAATTTTATCTTTTTTTGTTAACAAATTTATTATTTTGCTTCATTTTTACTATATCCACATTTAAAACTTCCACAGACAAGTTTGTAGTATGCATTTTGACTGTTTTTCTGCTCTTTTTGTTTTTAATGATCAAAAATGTTTTGCAGCAGTCCAAATAATGCAAAGAAAAAAGGCATCTTCACAAATTGATGTAAATATAAAAACCATGTGTATCAGGAATCACAACAGCAAATTAAAAGATTGAGAAGACCACTCCTAAATTATTGAAAATTATCATTCTGCATTGACAATAATATATGGGTATAAATTAGATACAACCATTTGGACTAACGCCCTCAAGGTGTACTTAATACATACAATCATTCTGATCTTTTCTATTTCAGTTTTAAGATATAAAGAAAATATTTGAAATATTCCAAGAAACTGCCAGTTGTCTCCCTTACACTTTACAAGGACGGGACAAAAGTGTACTAAAAAGATAAATATATTCATAAAACTTTGTTTTTTATCGTTTCTTTTTATTAATTATATACATACATTATCGCCGATGTTTATATGTTGTGAACAGACGTCCAATAAATACGTCAGCATTTCACTTCTTTCCTTCATTATACAACGATGTAACAACGTTCGTCCGCATTTGTCTCGGACATTTGAATACTTTTTGCAAGAAAGTAATTTCTTTGCATCATCTATTAATCCATCGTCTACAGCTGTGAAGATTCTTTTAATGTATGCCTAGAGTGAAAGATTGTTCATAAAGATATTACTCACTGTTAAAATATCCTGTTGAAACAAAAATTTGTGTATGTAAATATTTATTCAAATATCTACTTGTTTTTGGTGAGTAGTTGCTCAGTCTTAGTTTTCTATGCAGTGGTTAGACGATTTTTTTGTTTGTGTTTTAGTCGTTTTTCTTTCAGGTTATGATATTGTTTATTTATTGCCCACTTATAATTTTTTTTATTGTACGTTTGGTAACTCATTGTCTTAATATTTTCTAGTCATATTCATTCCTCATATCCCCTCTTTAATTATTCGTAACGTCAAAGTTACTTGTAGTTACTGTAGTCCGGAGACTGTCATGAAACATAAATGCACCAGTGTATTAACATAATGCTTGGACCTCTGTTTGTGTTGATGTTTTAGACGAATATATATACTAGGTTATTGTCCCTATAAAGAACCAATTTATCTTTATCAGGAATGCTGAAAGCCGAATATTTGAAAGCCGAGGATGTATAAGACCCGAAACATTTGAAGAGCTATATTTAGTACCATAACGTAATTAGACATATTCTGCTGTAGTGTATCGAGAGACATCCTCTGAGAACAAACATTTCAATATGCCTATCTACTTTTGACCATTTTTTTTTAATTCCAGTAAGTCATATGTGGATGAGGAAAACATTTCACGGTCATAACTATAGTCGACAAGATTTATGATAAATGGTTTTGTTATTGCAAGTTTCTAACTTTCTATCTTTTTTGTTTAGATCGCAATTCAGCTGTTCACTACCAGTTCAAACTAAATGATTAGTTTTATAGATTGCAATGATCTTACAAGTATTTCAATGTATTTCAATGTAGTAATATTCAGATTATTGACACCCAAAACAATTCTGAGTTCACCAACTATTTTGTTTTGGGTTGGGTTCGTGTTGCTCAATGTTTGTTTTGTGTTGGGTTCGTGTTGCTCAATGTTTGTTTTGGTTTGGATTCGTGTTGCTCAATATTTGTTTTAGGTTGGGTTCGTGTTGCTCAATATTTGTTTTGGGTTGGGTTAGTGTTGCTCAATGTTTGTATTGTGTTGGGTTCGTGTTGCTCAATGTTTGTTTTGGTTTGGATTCGTGTTGCTCAATATTAGTTTTGGGTTGGGTTCGTGTTGCTCAATATTTGTTTTGGGTTGGGTTCAGGTTGCTCAATGTTTGTTTTGTGTTGGGTTCGTGTTGCTCAGTATTTGTTTTGTATTTAATGTTTTAGGAACTTGTTAGTTTATTCGTCGATTTTATTTTCAGCAATGGTATTGATTGTCTGTTTTATTTGACTTGATAATTTATATTATACTCTTGGCATCTTCTCCCTCTTTTCATTTTAACTATAACAGACCATAACATGTACTAGTATTAAATTTCAAGAAATGTAAACCCGATAAAACAAGTAACTTTTTTTCATATTGCATCATATTCATTCGTAGTCAAAAACTGGTTTTAACACTTAAGGAAAACTTTGCAGAATATCAGAAACAATGTAAAATCATTGCCATAGTGTGACGAAAACTTTTTTTACTTACATGAATTGCAGTTGTGAGATTAATTACTTCATATATTTGACGGCTACTGGACCTTTTGGCAATATCAACTATTGTCCGTTTAGAACTGTCCGTAATATCCACTAAATGGTCATAATTATGTAATATTAGTTTTTCCACTTCATTGAATTTTTTATCCTTGACTAGTTTAACAATAAATTCGTCAATTGCAACTACATATACTGATTTGTTCAATTTCACAGCTACATCACGTGGTGTTCTTCCTTTGCTGTCACGGGCTGCGATGTCGGCACCTAGTGCCATGAGATTCTTGAAGATATTTTCAGATGCATCATAAGTTACTGCAGTGTGTAATATTGTATTGCCATCATAGTCCCGAGCAGAAAGATCTGATCCTTCGAGGACTCGTAAAACAACTTTCTCATCTTTAGGCACAGTATTTCCACATAACAACTGAAAAGATGATATATATGGTTGTATTTGATCCTTAACATAGCACGGTTAAGAATGAAATATTGAAAAATCACTAATCGAAAATAAAATAAACAAAAACAAATAGGAATTAATACAACAATCTTTTCGAGAATATTGATCTATCGACTTATGATATTGACTTCATTTAAAATATATTTTTGTAAAGTTCTTTTCGGCCAGACACAAACTGAATGTTACCAATGACACATAACATTTCAAGAAAGATATAGCCTAGAAGACAATAAGAAGGAATCGTCAGTTTCTTTATGTGTTAGCGTTCGAAATGATCAACACGTAAAGTTGATTATTACTTTCATTTTTATTTTATGATAAGCTTTTTATAGCTGACTATCAGGTATGGATTTTTCTATAGTTGAAGGTCATACGGTGACCTGATAATTACTTTTATCTTCGTCATTTGAACTCTGGTGGCTAGTTGTCTCATTCGCAATCCTACCACATCTCCTTATTTGTAAATTTATAAAATACCTGAAAGAAAACAGGCTTTGGTGGATTCTTCGACGATCCTTCATAAGTCCACAATACACGAGTATCAGGTTTCATATTCATAAGAACATCCACTGCATCATAATTGTTTGATTCCCAAGCCGAAGCAAGTAAAGGTCGTGGAGTCTCTGGGTATTCAGGGTAGGCATATTGATATGAAAAATCTCTAGTGTTAACATCTACACTCTTCAAGAGTTCTGCATCTATTTATAGAAAAACAAAATAACATAAATATAACAGAGAAGTTCGTCCCAACAAGTTGAAAGCCGAGCACTTTGATTTCATCCCAGCGCTCTTTTGGATTTGATATTACCAAACGTAATTCGATCCATTTGTGTATTTTAGAGGTATAACTAAAAATTTCTTAGCGTAAGTAATAATATTCTAATCACAGCGCTTTCAATTTCACATTACTGATTGTATTCTGGTACTTCAAACACCATTACCTCATGTATATATACACATGGATTAACCTTCATCTAAACCAAATATAAGTATGGTTAAATGTTAAAAATACATCGGAATATTTAAACCAAAAGGAATTGAAATTGACAAAACTATATAAGCATAACTAAAATTTGCACGAGGGAGTTGCAACCTTAAAATAGTCAAATGTTCAACTTTTTTTCAGCTGAGAATGTATAATGAAAATGATCGTAATACTTCCTGTGCACTGTTGGGTGTATGATACCCAAATACAAAAAATATCAACGAGGTTGACCGGGTTTTTCATGCATATGATGTTGTGTTATGTGCATCTATTCTTAAAAAGAATATTTTTTTCTAAAACCTGAGAAGCGAACCATCTTAAGTGATGAAAGAATTTTTCAGATAAATTTAATGCTGACTAATAGATTGAAGATATCGTTACAAAAATGCGTGGACGAATAGAAATTGATCAGCATTTCTAAAAAAAATTATTTTTGTTGTTGTTTTTTTTGGTTTTTTTTGGGGTTTTTTTTGGGGGGGGTCTATAGATTAATATAACCTATACACTCTATTTATTTTGGCGATTACTTGCCTGCCTTCACCCATCCTTTAACAATAAATCCAAATCCTGCTGACAATGCTAAAGCCATTTCATTTGGATTTTCATATCTTTCTATCATTTCCAACAGGTCACGTTTATGAATGTCATCACGAACCAGTGACTTGATGCTAACTATATTGCCATTTTTGACACATGTGAGTCTACACCAGTTCTTCAGAAGACGCTCTACTACATGTCTGTCTGGATTTGATTGATCTAAGGCTGCCCATAATCCTATAAAAATATAACAAATAAGACGTTGATGGTTAAATACTTAAAACAGAATCATATTTATGACTACATTTGTTACAGGCAATTTAAATATTTCTCTTTGTGGGGTATATTCATTTACAAGTTGCTTACAAAACAACATATTTGTCAGCAACTTGATACGTCTGTTGAAATCACGACCTTGTTATCTGACGTCATCTTTACTATGAACATAAACAATAATAAAGTAACGTCTAACAATAAAATGTCACGTGTTATTAAAGAAAGTAATGGGCATAAAATAGCAGAACTATGTATGTATTAGATACACCTTGAGGGCGTTAGCTCGAATGGGTGTATCTAATTTACACCAAGGTAGTATTGCCAAAGCAAAATGGTAGCTTTCAATAATTTAGGAGGGGGGTCTTTCAGCGATTTCAATTTGACAATATGTAATTGAAAAGCATGATAAATGTAGGGTATCCAATTTCATTTAATGACATCTTGGTGTAAATGATTATTTTCTCCCTGATCAAACTTACAGTTTTGGATTTTCATTTTCTTTTGCCTAAAGACATAGCCCGGGTACACTCACTGTGTACTGAGTGGCAGGGATGAGCCGCTATTTCAAGATAGGTACTAATGAAATAGAGCGACAAATTTAGATTAGATAAATGATAAGGTTGTTGATTATATTGTTAGTTTCTGAAACTGAATCAGATGTAAGTATATTTTTTAAAGATGCGATTAAAACCTAAAACATATATATACATCAGTATTTGTCAAAAGTCTCCATAAAAATGAGTCAGAAAATTTCAAAGCGATATTCAAACTCATCAGCCGAAAACAAACTGACAATTGACAAATAACGGAAAACGACCAAGAGACAACAGCAGTCCAAAAACACAAAATAGAAAACTAATGACTTAGCAACACGAGCCACTGCAAAAACAGGGGTTGATCTCATGTGCTTATAAAAAAAGGTATTGTTTGTTGGTGTTTAACGTTTTAGTATTTCTGTCGGATGGTTTAGGACCTTTCTGTCTGGTGGTTTATGACCTTTCTGTCGGGTGGTTTATGACCCTTTCTGCCGGGTGGTTTAAGACCTTTCTGTCGGATGGTTTAGGACCTTTTTTTTCAACGGTGTTTGGTTAAATACTATAAATCTAAATCCGAAAAAAAATGGTTTTCAATTAGTTGTGATATAGTAGGCTGGCTTTTTAAACTGAATTATTTGCATCTGTCTTGACGAGTAGGGATATCTTCAAATCATTTTAGTATGTTGTTAATGTGGAATGCTTAACCCTGTTTTAATACAAGACGGACATGTAATTCCACAATACAAATAGTCCATTTAATAGATCTACTATGGACGACATTGTTATTATATTATCAACACTTGATAATGGCCAATAAAAATATATAATTGCGGACTACGTTCCACATCGATGAACAGCCTTGACCTTGTTTTATTCACTGTAATAAAAATCAATACCGGTATTATTGATGGGTTATTATAATAAAAGATGTGCACATTCATAAATAGTAAAAACAATTAATTATACATTTACCTGTGTTAGAAAGGTTTCCAATCAATAGTATTACTATATAAGCAGATGTTTAAACTGGTGTGAGAAAGATATTAAACATTATCTTGCCCCGTTGGTATTTTCTCCATGTTTTAATTTGTGTAATGCCACTTTAAGACAGAAAAAACGCAGTCAATTTTGATAAGTCGTTTTAATTTAAATATTTTTGCTTTCCTCATTCGTTAGATAATGATTAGCACATATACATGTTTACGGTTCATGTGGACCCTTTGGCTAAAATGGCTGCGTTTCAGAGTCACCTCAAAATTTACTCTGAGTACAGACTAACCTGTGCATGTTGAAAAGTTTTAAGGCATAGCATGCCCTAGATTAATAAAATTCAAATGCATTTTATGTTTTAGAAAATTTCAAAATTAGTTGGATTTTGCAGTGCACTTTTTTCGTCCCTGCATAACAAACAGTTGAGTTTCACTTGATATGGTCCACTCAGGTACACAGTATAAATCGCCAATTTTTGTCAGGTATCTATTGTCCCTCTATTGTCCATGTCAAGCAATACAGTTCACTTCAATTATTACCTTGGGGAAGTTCTCACACCTCTTTCCTAATTTTGTTTATTTTGGCACTTTCTGGAGGAATGAGAAAAAGTGCTCTGCAAAATCCAGTTAAGTTTTTAACTGATTGAAATAACAGTAGGGTAGCGATGTATGTGACTGACTAGCAAGACATTACAGTAGCGATGTATTGTGACTGACTAGTAAGACATTACGGTAGCGATGTATTGTGACTGACTAGTCAGACATTACGGTAGCGATGTATGTGACTGACTAGTAAGACATTACGGTAGCGATGTATTGTGACTGACTAGTAAGACATTACGGTAGCGATGTATTGTGACTGACTAGTAAGACATTACGGTAGCGATGTATTGTGACTGACTAGTAAGACATTACGGTAGCGATGTATGTGACTGACTAGTAAGACATTACGGTAGCGATGTATTGTGACTGACTAGTAAGACATTACAGTAGCGATGTATTGTGACTGACTAGTAAGACATTACGGTAGCGATGTATTGTGACTGACTAGTAAGACATTACGGTAGCGATGTATTGTGACTGACTAGTAAGACATTACGGTAGCGATGTATGTGACTGACTAGTAAGACATTACAGTAGCGATGTATTGTGACTGACTAGTAAGACATTACGGTAGCGATGTATTGTGACTGACTAGTAAGACATTACGGTAGCAATGTATTGTGACTGACTAGTAAGACATTACGGTAGCGATGTATTGTGACTGACTAGTAAGACATTACAGTAGCGATGTATTGTGACTGACTAGTAAGACATTACGGTAGCGATGTATTGTGACTGACTAGTAAGACATTACGGTAGCGATGTATTTGACTGACTAGTAAGACATTACGGTAGCGATGTATTGTGACTGACTAGTAAGACATTACAGTAGCAATGTATTGTGACTGACTAGTAAGACATTACGGTAGCGATGTATTGTGACTGACTAGTAAGACATTACAGTAGCGACGTATTGTGACTGACTAGTAAGACATTACGGTAGCGATGTATTGTGACTGACTAGTTGAATGGTAGTGTAGTGATTTATAGTTAATTTTCTAAAACATGAAATGTTAAGAGCATGCTATGCATTAAAATTTTTCCAGATACGCAGGTTTGTCTGTACGCAGATTAAATTTTGAGGTGAAAATGCAGCCATTTTATCCAATGGGTCCACATGAACCTTAAGAAGAAGAATAATTCCAGGAACATGTACCAATAAAAGCCTTCTACGATCAGTTGGTAATCTTCCTATGGAAGATAAGTTTAATTAATTTAATTTAGTTATAATTTTCAATGGCGTATTAGATACATGTATCTTATTTTGGCTGTTATTAATGACGAAATTAAAGTGACGTTTCTTTAGTATGACGGTAGGGTATAGATGTATTGTTGAGTGATTAGTACGAGGGTAGGGTAGCGATGTATGGTTGTTGATTAAAATGATGGTAGGGTAACCATGTATGACATGTATGGTGGATGGTTAGTATGACGGTAGGGTAACGGTGTATGACATGTATGGTGGGTAGTTAGTATGACGGTAGGGTAACGGTGTATGACATGTATGGTGGGTGGTTAGTATGACGGTAGGGTAACGATGTATGACATTTATGGTGGGTAGTTAGTATGACGGTAGGGTAACGATGTATGACATGTATGGTGGGTGGTTAGTATGACGGTAGGGTAACGGTGTATGACATGTATGGTGGGTGGTTAGTATGACGGTAGGGTAACGGTGTATGACATGTATGGTGGGTAGTTAGTATGACGGTAGGGTAACGGTGTATGACATGTATGGTGGGTAGTTAGTATGACGGTAGGGTAACGATGTATGACATGTATGGTGGGTAGTTAATATGACGGTAGGGTAACAATGTATGACATGTATGGTGGATAGTTAGTATGATGGTAAGGTGGCGATTTATGACATGTATGGTGGATGGTTAGTATGATGATATGGTGGCGATTTATGGTGCCTGATTGAAATGACATTACGGTAGCGATGTATTGTGACTGACTAGTTGAATGGTAGTGTAGTGATTTACAGTGGATGTTTAGTATGACGGCAGGTAGCAATGCATGGTGGTTGATAAGTATAAAGGAAGGTGTATGAGTATATGGAGGCGGATTATGGTATGACGGTGTTATTCCGATAAAATTTCAGGTACAGACATTTGAAAGACAGCATTGATAAACACCGAATCCCCAAAATACAATTTTCTATATAATACTTCAAAAAAATGTATATATAAAAGTAATACTTTAAAATACTTTGAAAAAGAGGAAATATAAATAAGATATCCATTACAAAAAAGAACACATAGTGAACACCAACCAGTTTAAAACCTTAACAGATATGAACCTATAAATAAAGGTAGATTGTCACCTTTCAAATCAGTTTCTTCAAACCTGAATAAAAACTTCGCATCTTAAGTCAAGATATATATGATATTTAACAAATTACGAATTATCCATAATTTCCCGAAGCAGTAGTTCCACAGATCCGTGAAGCAGTATTTTATTTATTGAAATATAAAGATATACAGTTAAGTCAAAGTCAGTTGACAAAAAATAGTAGTTTTGGGTCGTCTATCTTTCAAAGCAGTCACTATTCTGAAATTATTTAAATGAACTATTAATTATTCAAATTCAAATTTGAACTGCTAAATCATGCTTATTATGCTATCAAAAGATTAAAAACTTTAATAAATATCTTTACAATATTTGTAAAATAAAAATAGAAGGGTTTTGCTTTTTACATCACCTAGTCCATTTATGATAGATTCCTTGATTTTTACCTGGCTTATATTTGTTATACCAGTGCTGCATTTCCTGCCAACCTTCTGGTTTTTCTTGAAGTAGTACATCTTCGGCTGTCTTGCCATCGGTGTTTAGTATTCTTGTATCAGCTCCGCATCTGTAATTTATGAGGTCAAGTTTAACATATGTATGTTGTTCTAATTAAAAAGTATTAAAGAAAACGAATTATAAAACATCAAATTCAATAAAATGCAATCACATTACCATTTGCCGGTTCAAATAAAAGAATTTACCGATGTTTTGACTTTGTCCCTTGTTCGTGTTAGATGTAGTCCAGTACAAATAACATTTATGATTTTCCGTCATTTGTTCCTTTGCTCATCTCAAACGATATTTAAACTTCACTTTTCAAAATCAATGTTTTTTATATTTTTCTAGTCTTTATACATCTAGTTTTAGATTTGTTTCACTTTCTGTCTTTGCGTATTTTATTGTGGACTTCTCCATCCCACAAAGTAACCCAGGGGCTTATCAACTGAACCCACTTTCTACGGTTGAATGTATGGAAATGCATTTGGACGTTGAATTCAATACCGCGTGTTGCATTTTTATAGGCAAATAGTTTGTATCAAGTTACTAAATTGGCCTTTTCAAAAAACAAAAACAAACTTTTTTTATATCAAATTTATTCTTATTCATATTCCAATAGATAACGAAAGATGATAATTGTTAAAGGGATTAGCAATAGTTTTAATGAATATTGTAGTGTTATTATGGTGATTCTCAAGAATGGTGAAGATTGTCTTCTTATAATAAAGCAACTTTATATAAAAAAAATGCTTCCATATTTGTGTTCTCCGTAAGTCGCGAAGAGTTTAGTAGAGACATGTAAAAAATAAGATCTATTAACAAATGCTGCAATCGTGACGCAATCACGACGCACTTTCAAATTGTTTTTTACTCAATTCTGTAAATACTACATGAAGTTTGTCCTTGTACAACCACAGATACAAGATTTAAATGTAATTAATTTCAATATCAATATGTATATTATTGAAGTTCTAATTGTACTTTATAGCTTAAACGTTAAGTTATGTTCAGTTTAGTGTTCTTATTTTTTTTCAACACTAAACTTATTAAAACCATACAGCCTCATATCGTCCTTAGGAAGTAAGGTAAGTTGTACTTCTGTTTCTTTTATACAGTGTATTTAAACAATACACCTTTTCATGACCAGATCACGAACAAGATTATTTATAAATACTGAAGACCTAGTCAATTGGAATAGCTTTCTCCTGAGTGAACCAGTATCGTTTAATATGCATTTGATCAGTTAAGGCAACACATTGTATATTGTAAAATGAAGGACGTTCGGTAAGCTTTGTATCTTTTCGAGACAACCCGAGATAGCATCGAAAATGTTTTAACAGTTTAAGTTTTTCATTTCAATTCGTAAGATGTCGCCACACCTGAAATGTTAAATTTGCGATTTCAAATTGTCTGAATACATTATTCTTAAAACATTATTTTATAAATGAAAAGAAGAGATACATTAGCACTTAGCCACTGGGTAAATAATGAAATACGGTAATATTAAAGAGTTTCGTGTGGTTATTTGAATCTTTATACTTAGCTGAACTTGTTTTGATTTGAACTAAAGTGTTTATAAAGTCAAGAAAAGTATATCGGTCAAAATGTAATCGCATTTTATGTTTAATCAAACCATACAATTTTGATGTTGTATACATATTGATATGAGAATTTTACTAGGTGCCGATTGCAATACTAGTATATTAAACCCGGATTTTTTATTTTAATGCCCAAAAGATGTAGTTCTGCAGCATGCATACATTCGGGAGTCCTGATATCTCAAAATAATGATTAAACATTAATTTCAGAGGTTATGCATATTTCTATATGTAAGGTAGAGAATTCAAAGAACCAGATCAAATATTAAAATACCGTAATTGTATTCTTTAATTAGTCATATCTAATTCATAAAAAAAAAAATCATTCCATATTATATTGTCTTGTCTTCATTCTTTATTTTTTGTCGATTTTCTTGTAAAACGAGAGAGGTAATATACCAATGAGAAACAGACCACATCTTGTTTAAAAAAAAAGAAAGAACAAAAACAACAACAAAAAAAACACACAGATATCGATTTAAATGATGTTGATGCATTGTAATGAATTATCCAAACTTCAAATCTCCGAGATAATCCGAAATGAAAACCAGTAGCCAATTTATATTTAAACATAGTGGTCATTTATATAAAAAAGAATTGTAAATATTTTGCCATTGGGAAATTGTTTGTTTGATGTTAACAAATGAACAGAATTATACTTTTTTCCCACACTTAAGCTTTAATCACTGCTAGTTAATAAAAATGCTCGTCTGTTCAGCATATTGTGAAAAGTTGGAAAAGCTCTTCAATTAAGATATATGCTTGTAGCAGTTTTACAAGTTTTCTTTAGTTTATATATTTTTTTAACTAACGACCTACAGCATTGTGTAAATTATGATAAATTGATGATATCACTGTTATAATCGGATAGTTTATGTACTATGTCTACAAATTAAATCATATATCTTATGAAAACACTTTTTTAAAGGGTGAGCATTTTTGTATGCCTATCCGTGAATTATGCGGGTTCTTACGTGTACCCTTTGAAATGGATCCTTTCTAACAAGAAGTTTTTTCCGAGACTGGTACCCAAAATATGACTCTAACCTTTCATGTCGGATGGTTGATCTATGGCATGTAGAGTAGGGTTAACGCCCAGATTTACTGGACCAAATAAAAATGGAAGGTTATAGATATCAGTGACCTTTTATTTTTAACAGCGATTATGATCGAAACCAGCTCAAGTTACAAATTGAATTAAATGTAATTATACGAGTATCTGTCTTTGTACACTTTTAATAATAGTGTTGGAAGGGAGTAGCTAGGTTCAAAATTATAAAATGTTGCATAACAGGTATTTACGACAGCATGACTCTTTTCTGAAATCCTAAATTAATATTCGATGGTCAAGATATGAACACGAAATTAAAATTTACAGTTTTAGAATAAGTAAAAGATTTTTTTTTCTTTAAATGATAAATTAAGGAAGTCTGTAATGATCAAAGTAAAATTTGGTGTTATTGGGTATATTCTATATAAAGTAATAGGTCCTTAACCACATTTATTAATACTATGACTTAATACATGAACTGTTTCTGGATGTAATTTCCTTGTACCAGACCACATAAGCCACAATGTTCGTATGTAGGATCGTTGTCAAATTTATCATCTAACCCTGAAGGCACATGAACTCCAATTTTACAGACCTTCCTAACATGTACATCGACAATATGAATTATTGGTCAACAGAAGTATTAACATATAGGATTGTTATTCTTTTTAAGTAATATTCAAAAAAAATATCTGTTGAATCTCACATTTAATACAAAAGGGTAAACAAACAGAACTGTATTGCTTACAAGTGATACGCAGGGGCGGATTCAGGCGTGCGCCCCCTCCCCCTTCTAAAATTTGCAAAGCATGGGTTGTCCTCAGCTTAATAAAGAATATTTCGATAATTTTACCTAAAACAAAATTAAGTTTCCGCCCCTAACCTAAACTCCTGGATCCACCCCTGATACCACCGCTTTAAATATTCCGTAAACAGTACGTTGAAGAGTAATGGATATCAAAATGCAGCACTCGGTATAGCATATTCACAGGAATCCTGATGATAAATTTCAGGAAACTCTTATTTGTAGTTCCGTAGAAAATTGTGATGAAAATTTTATACATGACCATTATGTGTAAGCATATATAAGTATTCAATAAACAGGAAGTTTATGAGCAATGAATAGGAAGAAGCATCACACGGCATAACAAGTTCAATTGGATCAAAATACAGATCGTGTGTCCACGTTTTGCTTATAAGGATCTGACATAACTCCGTCCTACTTTCTGTTCTGAAAAATGTTTGATGGTAAGTATTATTACGACAATATATGAGGATCCCTAAAGGTCGTTAAAACAGAAAGTAGAATGGAGCGTATTCAGATCCTTGTAAGCGAAGCGTGGACACAGGTACTGTATTTTTCAGATTTTAACAAGTTTACATGAAGCTTAATAACAAATTTCAGGAAGCTTTGATTTGTATTTCCTGAGAAAATGCGACGGAAATTCTATGGAGTGGGCTGACAGACGGACTGACGGACAGACAAGGGTAAAATCGTTTACAACCCTACCTTAGGAGGGAGAATTACTATATCCGCCTACGAATATTTAAATCAACAATAAAAACTGTACAAAACGACACTATATCTTAAATCAATTTTCAAATCATAAGTATATCTGCACATTTTATCAAACTTTAAATTTTGAAATTTAGATTTCAAGATTTTTCACAAGATGAAAGTCTCCAATAAAAGGGTAAATTCAGTGTAAATAAGAAGTATAAATAAGTATAGTATTTTTTTACCGTCAATATGATAACTGAAACTCGTAAGTAACACGTTATACGTAGAGGGCATAACTGTGAATCATACCTTTATTAAGTACTTTATAAGGTCGTAGCTGATTCCAATTGCGTTTTTAAAACATTTGCTCTTCTTGGTTGGTTCCATGATATGCGAAATGATTGATGGAGAAGGTACGATACGGTCACTTTTTGACCTTCTTAATTAAAAAATTAAAAAGTATCTACCAAATAACCTAAGATGTTCATAAGACATCAGTACGTCAGACATCAGTATGTCAAACATTAGTATGTTAAACATCAGTATGTCAGACATCAGTATGTTAGACATCAGTATGTCAGACATCAGTATGTTAGACATCAGTATGTCAGACATCAGTATGTTAGACATCAGTATGTTAAACTTCAGTATGTCAGACATCAGTATGTTAGACATCAGTATGTTAGACATCAGAATGTCAGACATCAGTATGTTAGACATCAGTATGTAAGACATCAGAATGTCAGACATCAGTATGTCAGACATCAGTATGTTAGACATCAGTATGTCAGACATCAGTATGTTAGACATCAGTATGTCAGACATCAGTATGTTACACATCAGCATGTTACACATCAGTATGTCAGACATCAGTATGTTAGACATCAGTATGTCAGACATCAGTATGTTAGACATCA